AGTTTTGGGGGGCTCTGGGGGGTTTGGGGGATTGGAAGAGTTTGGGGTTCAGGGGGGAATTTTGGGGGGTTTTGGGGGAGTTTTGGGGGGCTCTGGGGGGTTTGGGGGATTGGAAGAGTTTGGGGTTCAGGGAGGAATTTTGGGGGGATTTGGGGGGGATTTTGGGGCTGAGGAGGGTCAGGGTGTGGGGGAGGGGATTTTGGGCTCAGGAGATTTCGGGGTGCTGAGGAAATGGGGGAGGGGTGGGTGTTAGGGGGGGTTTTGGGGTGCTGGGGGGGGTTTTGGGGTGATCAGGAGACCCCTGGGCCCCCCCAAAAAGGAGCGAGACCCCCCAGCTGTTCACGGTGGTCCCCGAGAAGCGAACGGCGACCGTGGGCACGGCCATGATGGGCTCCACACACATCTACGACATGTCCGCGGTGAGACCCCCAAAAAGCACCCTGGGACCCCCAAAAAGCACCCTGAGACACCCAAAAAACACCCTGAGACACCCAAAAACACCCTGAGACACCCAAAAACACCCTGGGACCCCCAAAAACACCCTGAGACACCCAAAAAACACCCTGGGAACCCCAAAAAACACCCTGAGACCCCCAAAAAACACCCTGAGAACCCCAAAAACACCCTGGGACCCCCAAAAACACCCTGGGACCCCCAAAAACACCCTGGGACCCCAAATCCCCCTCCCAGCGGGTGGAGGTGACCCCCGTCCCTTGTCCCCTGTCCCCGGGGGTCTCCTGCAGCACCCAGGGGTGCCGGGGGTCAGCGTCACCCCTGTCCCCCTGCGGTCCCACAGGTGACAGTGGCACAGGGGTGACGGTGACGGTGACAGGGGTGGCAGTGACAGTGTCAGGGGTGGTAGTGACGGTGACAGGGGTGGCAGTGACGGTGACAGGGGTGGCAGTGACACTCTCAGGGTGACAATGACGGTGTCAGGGTGACGGTGACAGTGTCAGGGTGACAGTGACACTCTCAGGGTGACGGTGACAGTGTCCCCGCGGTGTCCCTGCAGGTGATGGGGCGGGTGACGGTGTCAGGGGTGACAGGGCACCTCTCAGGGGGACAATGATGGTGTCCGGGG